TGAGCTCTGATCATCCAGTCATTGAAGCCAGAACAAGTGGGTATTTTCTGCAAGTGTGGGTGTTCTTATGCATATGCCCTCTCTTCTTATCAGCTGGACACTTCACTCTCCGCTCTAGTCCTTGTGGTATAGTTTGTAGCCACTCTTGCATTAGTGTAGTCTGGTTTTCTGGATCTTTGGGAGTTATGTCTTGGGGCAGGATTCTATACTCGTTTTCTAATCCAAGAGTCAGCACATGTATAGGTTCTCCGTTTTTATCTGTTACGGAGACTTTCTTTGGACTGAAGTAGATGTGCGCTCCTACTTTGGTAAGCAAGTCGCGGCCCATCAAGGGGTAAGGACAACTAGGAATGACCATAAAGGAATGGGATACCTGGCCCGTGCCGAGGTCCACTTTTCTTCGGGTAGCCCATGAATACTGGCTCATTCCAGACGCTCCTTGCACCCAACTGTTGCATCCTGACATTGGCCCAATTGGTTGTTTTAAGATCGAATGCTGAGCTCCTGTGTCCACTAAGAATTCAATGGGCTGCCCCTCTACTTTCAGGGTTACCCAAGGCTCGGAGAGGGGTAATGAGCCCCGATTGACCTAATCACTCATGTCTTCAATCTTGAGTACTTTGGGTGTGGTGTTTGGGCGCTCAGGGCACTTGCTTTTCCAATGTCCTAATTTTTTTAGAGTAGGCGTATTGGTCTTTTTGTAGGCCAAGTCTAGGTTTTGGCCTTGTTTCTTTTATTCCTTGATAGGCAAATTTCTTCAAGCCTTTTCTCTTAGCCTCTCCCTCGGCCGAGGCTGCAAGGAGAACTTTTGCTAACCCCCGGGTTTGTCTGTCTTCTGGGGTTTCTCTGTTATTATATACTTTTTCTGCTACTGCCATTAGTTCAGCTAGTCACTTACCTTCGAAGCCTTCGAGGCTCTGCAGTTTTCACCGGATGTCAGGCGCAGACTGGTTCACAAAGGCTAAACTGACAGCTGATAGGTTATTTTCAGCTTCAGGGTCTGAGGGAGTATAGGTACGATAGGCTTCAAGGAGACGTTCGAGAAATGCTTCCAGAGACTTGTTTTTACCCTGGATCACCTAACTTACCTTGGACAAATTTGTCGGCCATCTGGCGGATGCTCGGAGACCCCCCATTAGAGTCTGGCAGTAGACTTTCAACCTCTTCCTACCCTCTCCCATGTGGAAGTCCCAGTCGGGCCTAGTCAGGGGAAACCCGCAGTTGATGAGATCAGGGTTAACAGTCGGTCTCCTATCTGGCCCTGGGACTAGCTTCCAAGCATCTGTTATAATTCTTTCTCTTTCTTCAGTGGTGAATAGAACCTGTAAAAGCTGGTGGCAATCATCCCAGGTGGGCTGATGGGTAAAAAGAACAGACTCTAAAAGGTTTACCAGACCACTGGGTTTTTCTGAAAATTTGGGATTCTGCATTTTCCAGTTATAAAGGTCACTCGTGGCAAAGGGCCAATGCACGAGGTGAGGGTTTCCATCTGCATCGGGGGGACCTAAGGCTCTGAGAGGGAGGGCAGCAGATTCAGCTTGCGGGGGTTCATCACATTGGGTCCTAGCTCAGGTATGAGGTGGGCTGTTCTAGGATTCTACTTCTGGAGCCTCGACCTGTACTTGGGGCAGCGAAAGATGTCGGTATGGTGGGGGAAAGGAGAGCTCCTTTTCTTCTCTGTCAGACAAGGGGAGTGGTTTGGGTCCCGGAGGAGCGGAGGGTTTCTTTTCTTTTGAGGTCAGCATTAAGACAGATTTTGCTGGGACCTGTGACAGGAAGGGCTTAAGCGATGGGGATGGATTTGTCACTAGCCCTTCCCATGTGGTTATGTAACTGATTTGACCCAGGTGACCGGGGTCTGCAAGGATTATTTCCTTGACCCGACGGATGGTGGGTAGGTCAAAGGTTCCTGCTTCGGGCCAGCTGACACTGAAAATAGGCCATTCCTTTCTACAAAGGATAACCATTTTTCTTTTATTTAGGGTCAGGCCATCTCTATTAGCTAAGTGTCGAATTAGTGCTTTTGGACTAGGCCTAGAGGAGTAGATACAGTTTGACCCATAGTGATTAATCTGGTTAGTATTCTCAGTGATAGCAAGGATGTTTCTGACGGTTTTGCTGCTTACGTGAGTTATAGTGCCAGTGTACAACTCCCACCGAGGAATTGGTCTCAGGAAGGAGCCAAAACCCAGTCCTATGTGAGGCCAAAATGCTGCACTAGGTTCTCTTAGTAAGCTCAGCATGCGCCAGTCAGAGAAAAGGAACTGGAGAACAGAGGAAGAAGTAGTCTGGTTAGAAACAGTACAGTCAGAAAAGAAAAAGTGCAGAGTAAATAGAGGAAGGAGAGAGTTAAATCTGTGACAGAAAGTCCAGTCGTCAGGAGCGGTCACAGCAAGTCCAAGACTTAAAACCAGAACTAAGGGTAAATAGGCGAGGTTAATCAGGATACACATAGACCAACGGGAAAACATAAGGTAGGGGTCGGGTAACCGACAGGGGTATTCACTCAGGCGCCTTTCTGGCCACGCCCCTCACAGGGTGTTTCAACCCTCTCTTGGCTAAAGGTGTAGCCGTATAAACCCCGGCCCTGGTCACCACTAACGAAGTTATGCCGTATGAGAGAGTCGTGGAACCACAGATGGAGGCCCAATCAGACTCTGTAGCTGACGCCGTGGAGCCGCACAGATCTGACACAGCAGGCTGTGTTCAGTTACACTCTTACTACAATTATCCAATCATTCACTCAACAGACAGCTAAGACAATAACAAGCTGCCTTTGACAAAAAACAACAAGCCAGAAACAGAAGCAGAAACGGAACGGCATGTCCTCTATGAGGTTCCGCTTACAGGAGCGACCTGCTTCGTTCCATCCAAACTGACCAAACTGACTGACCAGACCAGGAGGAACCACGGGACGCCTCCCCGGTTCCCTTCAAACTAACTGACCAGGAACAGGTGGAACCGCGGGACGTCTCCCCGGTTCCCTGGGTGGAGCACGTCCACTAGCACGTCTGCCTTGACCGCCAGGCCTGCAGGTTTGATTCGGATCACAGAAATGAAAAAAAAAGACAAACACACACAAAAAACAAATAACAAAAAAAACTTACCGGCCGGGAGCTTACTGTCCGGGAGATCAAACGCTGGGAGAGCAAATGCTGGACAAACACTGGACGCAAGGAGAGGATTCGGGTGATGATCCCAGACAAACCCCCAAATGTTATGCCCGATTTCCTGTCCCCCACGAACGACTCTCCTCACGTATGCAATCAGCAGAAGCATTTATTGATCTCAACACAGCATGCAGTGGGTCTATCATCTGAATTGATAGAGGCCACGAAAGCAGGCACAGCTGGCGTTTTTATAGTCAGTCAAGGGACGTTTACATTCAACTTTCAAGCTGATTGGCTCTTATCTGGGGAAGGTTGCTGCTGATTGGCTCTTATCTGGGGAAGGTTGCTGGTGTCAGAAGTTTGGCGGTTAGGGAGGGTTCTAACGGTTACTGGCACCAGTTTGGCAGTTAGAGTGGGTTCAGGTGTGTGGGAAGAAATTTCTTTAGGGAAGGGAAAGCGATAAAGGAATTTTTCTGGTTGGGGTCTTTTGGTCCTTCAATGTCGAGTCGGTTCCGACCCATAGCGACCTGGTATAGGGTTTCCGAGGAGCTTGAACCACCAACCTTGCAGTTCAAAAGAACTTTGCAGTCCAGTGCATTAACCCACAGCGTGGCACCAGGACTCCTGAAAGCCCTATACAGAGTCACTGTAAGTCAGAACTGACTCGACTTTACAACAGCTACAGCATTGTATTTGATAGCTTATTTGATATCTGACACCAGTTTGTCCCACGTTCAATTTGTCCTGCTACAAAACTGAGCTAAACCATTTCTCTGTGAAATTCTAGTTCTTTTTTTTTTGGAAACTCTGGTTCCTTTTGTGGGGCATGACACAGAGAGCACAATCTGGTCACTTGCTGTATACATTGTTCTAGAGTTGTCATTGCCTCTACGCCTTTTCAATGGACAAAGTTAGTAAATACTTGTTCTTAAAATATAAGCCATAAATCAAGAATGCAGACCAAGGATTTTCAGGATTTTTTCTTACCTGATTTTATACTTGTATTTGTCTTCTCTTATGCTAGCACGTTGGTTGATAAAAACAGAATTTATTTGCTTTACCCTATGTAGTTTAATGCACCAGACTGCAAAGTCATTTGAATTGCAAGATTAGCGGTTCAAGCTCCCCAGTCACTCCTTGGAAACCCTATATGTCGGAATCTACTCAATGACAGCACTTAACAACAACAACAACAACATAATATATTTACAATGGTTCCAAAAAACATCAATATTATCTTTAGCTCTCAGGAGAGGAAATACATTTTAGATTTCTTTTTGGTTATTTTTATCCTCAGAATATATCATGCTATATTCAGGCTCCATGTGTTACATTTTGTTGTCTCTCTGGTTTCTTTTAATCAAGAATAAATGTTTCCATAGCTTTGATTTTTTAAAAACTTTATTTTGATATACACTTGCAGAAAGTTATAAATATTCTAGAAGAATCCCCTTTGTACCTTTATAGATTCACCAGCTGTTAATATTTTGCTTTGTCTTTTCTCTATATCCATGTACTTTCTTCTGAACTCTTTGAGAGGAATTTTCAGATAGAGTGTTTCTTTATCCATAAATACTTTCATGTGCCTATTCTAAGTACAAGGACTGTAACTATTATTGATCTATCAAAATCAACAAATGTAACACAGATATATTATCTAATCCACAGTTTCTGGAGTAAATTCACCATCTGGCCGAAGCTGCCCTTTGTAGACCTCTTTGTCCCTGATCTAGAATCTAATCCAAAATCACATCTAGGATTAAACATTTAGTTGTGGTATCTTTTTAGTCCTCATGAGTCTGAAATAATATTTCAGCCCTTCTTTGCTCTTTCGTGGTCTTGACATTTTTGAGGCATTTAAACCAGTTACTTTGTTTCTCAATTTGAGTTTGATGTTTACTCATGATTAGATTCAGATGACACCCTTTTGGCAGGAATGCTGATGCGATTCCGTGTTTAGTACCTTCACTTGACTCCAGTTTATTTTATATTCAGATTTTGTAGTGGATTCGCAGGGAAATCAGTCCAGTAGGATCTTCATCTTGACTGGAACTGGAAGTCTTTCATTTTCATTTCAATTGGATTTCTCATATTTAAATGAGGTTGGACTTATTTTCAAATGTTAAACGCCCATTGACTTTAATTTTTCTAGGAATTGTATCTTTTTGCCTTTCATTAATTTTTAATCATGCTTTTGAAAACTCTTTAATATTTTAATTTTTTTAATCTTAGCAAGAATCACCCTTTGTGATTTAAATTTTTAAAAAATTTTTGGTCAAATGTATACAGTAAAGCCTAGTCCTGGTCCACTGTAGAGATCAGAAACATTGGTTACATGGTTCACATTGGGTCAACATTCTCCTGGTTTCTCTTCTAATAGTTTCATTTCCATTTACCTCCTTTCCCTGCCTCCTAACTTTCTGTACTTCAAATCAGCTGTTGATTTGTTAATTTTATATAGTTTTTGTTTGTTTGTTTAGAGAAACACAATATTTAGGAGTGGCAATCTTTGCTTTTTGGGCTAAACTATTATTTAAAGGTTACTTCAGGGGATAATTTCAATTCTAATTTGAAGAGGGCAATAGAGTAGGGGACTTCTCCAACCTCAATAGGTCCAGTAAGTCTGGATTCTTTAAATATTTGAAGTTCTGTTCCACATTTTTCTACCTTTTTATCAGGATTCAGCTGATCAGAATGTTTAGTAGTTGTATCCAGAAGGAGCTCTGGTAGAGTAGCAGTTACGAATCAGGATGCTAACCTCAAGGTCTGCAGTTTGAAACTATCAGCCATTCCACAGGAGAAAGAGAAGGCTTTCTGCTCCCATAAAGATTTACAGTCTTGGAAACCCTATACAGGGTTGCTGAGTCAGAATCGACTCCACATCACACCACCATCACCCAGGTACCGTCTAGTTCTTCTGGTCTCAAGGTAGAGACCAGGGAAGCAATTAGCCCAGTCGTCCAGTTATTTCATTGATTCTTTTCCTGTCTTTTTAAAAAATAATATTTTATAGTGTGTGGCACTGTAGGATATGCACTGGACTGTTAACCACAAGGTTGGTGGTTCAAACCCACCAGCTGCTCCTCGGAAAGCCTACACAGGGTCTCTGTGAGTCAGAACCGGTTCAACAGCACTTACCAACAACAAAATCAAAGATGAAAATTTACACAGCACATAGGTTCCCATTTAACAATTTGTATACAAATTACTCAGTGACATCGGTTACATTTTCCACAACTTGCCATCATTTTCATTATTCCATTTTGTTGTATTCTCTCAGGGATTCTAGTTTCTCTGCCCTTTTACCTTTTCATCTTTGCTCTAGATTAACTGTTGACCATTTGTTTTCATAATTTTTGTAAAGGAACTTATTATTCACAGATGACCTCAATCTGTAATTTAACTAAGAATGTTGTTGTCATTTCTGACTTACAGCAACCCCTCTGTACAACAGCAAACAATACTGCCAAGTCCTGCACCATCCTCACAATCAGTGTTCGAGCCTGTTGTTACAGCCACCGTGTTAGTCCACCTGGTTGAGGGTCTTCCCCTTTTTCACTGACCCTCATGTACCAAGCGTGACTGGTCCCTCCCGGTGACTTGTCCAAAGTACAGAGACAGTCTAACCATCCTCATTTCTAAGGAGCATCCTCACAGCACTTCTCTCCACACAGATTTGGCACTCCATGGTATATTTGATCATCTTTGCCGATACCATAATTCAATGGCATCGATTCTTCAGTCTTCCTTATGCATTTTCCAGCTTTCTCATGCAAATGAAGCAACTGAAAAAACTATGGTTTGTGCCTGACTCACTTCAGTCTTCAAAGTGTTATCTTTGCTTTTTATCCGTGTAGAAGATCTGTTGCAGCGGATTTGCCCTATGAAGTACATTTGGTTTCTTGACGACTGCTTCAATGGGCATTGGTTATGGATCTAAGTAAAGTGAAGTCCCTGACAACTTTGTTCTCTTCTCTTGGTTTTCTTAATGTTGCATATTGGTCCAGTTGGGAGGATTTTTGTTTTCCTTATGTTGTTGTGTAATCAAGTCATCTTCACTTTTACCAAACAAGTTTGTGTCATCTGCATATCATAGGTTTGCTAATGTGTCTTCCTCCAGTCCTGATGCTGCATTCTTATTCATATAGCCTGCTTTCTTAGATTATTTACTCAGCAGATTGAATACATATGGTGAAAATATACAACTGATGCACACTCTTCCTGATTTTAAACCAAACAGTATTCCCTTGTTCTTTTTGAAGGGTTCCTTCATAGTCTATGTACAGTTCTACATGGACACAATTTCGTATTCCTGGAATTCTCACTCTTCACAGTGTTATCCATAATTTGTTATAATCCATATAGCTGAATGCCTTTGCTTAGTTAATGGAACACAGTTAAACATCTTTCTGGTATTCTCTGCTTTCAGCCAAGATCCATCTGATACCAGTAATGACAGGCCTCCTTCCATGTCCTCTTCTGAATCTGGCTTGAATTTCTGATGATTCCCTGTCAATATATCGCTGCAACTGGTTTTTAATTATCTTCAGCAAAATTTTACTTGCATGTGATATTAATTACATTGTTGGATAGTTTCTGCATTCTGTTAAATCACCTTTTTTTGGAATGGGCACAAAGAGAGAGTCAGCAGCCCAAGCTAATTCCTCATCATGGAAGAATTTAAAGTTCAGCTATGCCACAGCTACCTAATTTTCAATTTAAGCAAATGACCTAACTTTCTTGAGCTTGTTTCCAGATGTTAAATTATAGTCACAGACATGACTTCATAATTAAATATTAACGTAAAGACTCCATTCTCAGCTCCTCACGAACTCTCACATTGTCAGCCAAGGAAACCACAGGCGGTCATGGTTGGGAACTAGGATATGCTGGACTGGAGAAATCCGGGAATCATAGGTTAGGAAGAGATGTTCCAGTTCCATGTACTCAGGCATTTCTGCGCTGGTAGAGATGGGGCTGGATCTGTTGACCCTGGGATGTCTGTCAAAGTTTCTGAGTCTGACTTTTGTCCTTAATGCCTGAAAGGAGGAGCCTGGTTTTACCTCTGAAGACCCTTTCTAAATGGGGAAGTTGGGGGCAAAGCGCCACACTTAATGTGTGAGACCCTGAGCACTGTGCTCTTGAGGGCTCCTTGGGGTCGGCCCCAATCCTACTGTTGTAGTTGTTGTTGTTAAGTGCTGTCAAATTGGGTTACCAGGGAGCGGCTGGTGATTTTGAACTACCAACCTTGTGGTTCAGATGGACCTTTTGGTCCAGTGCTTGCAGAGGTGTAGGTAAGAAGTGTCCTCTGGGGGTCCTGTTCATCATTGTGGGGACTACCGAAAGGTCTGGCCTGAATCCCATCTGCTGTAGCTGGCTACTGTTAGAATTGGGGAAGGACTGACGTTTGTCAAGACTCGCTCAAAGACGATTCATAAAGGTAGTTCTGAGTTGCTCATTTTGTGGACTTTGAGTTCAGCCTAATATCGTAAATTCTTTTCCTTCCCCAGCTTTGTTTTCTCTGGACTCTGCACATCTTCAGGAGAAGAACCTGGGAAACTGATCAGTTCTGACTTCTGAAAGACATGCCCCATGTGAGTTGCTCTGTCTTCTCCCCTTCTTGAATTAAAATCATTTTGTGGTGTTTCGGAACACCAAATTTATTTAGTTCAGAATTTTCTGCCTCACTTAGCCCCATAAGGTAACCTTCCCAAACTGCCCCCATTTTAGAGAGTGATAGTAGCAAATAGCCCCCATTTTTCTCTAAATGTCAGATTTCATGATGAATCTGAGTGTTCAAAAAATTATTTTATCCAAATTCTATTTTGTAGCCTAGAGATTCAGTTTTAAAAAAAGGATTTGAAATGAGTTCATCAATTTTCTTTTTCTCATTAGAGGGAAAAGAGAAAGAAAGAACTTGTACTTGCTGAGAAATTATTTATTATTTATCTGTGGAGAAGTTTAAAAATTTAATGTGCTGTGTGATGTTAGCAATAGTTCACTGAAGTGGAAAAGTCACTCCTCTGAGCTGCTTTCTTATGGACCTTTCTAGATAATAGAACTGTGTCCGCCCTCACTTCTGTACCATCTTCCATCTTTCTAGATAGTAGGACTGTGTCTGCCCACACTTCTGTACCCTCTTCCATCTTTCTAAATAATAGACTGTGTCCACCCCTACTTCTGTACCCTCTTCCATCTTTTTGCCTTTCATCGCAAAGTCATTACCATATTCTCACAAATGAATGGGTTTGCTGTTTCAGTGGTTGGTGACTTTCAGAGATGTGGCCATAAAATTCTCTCAGGAGGAGTGGGAATACCTTGGCCCTGCTCAGAGGGAATTGTACAGGGATGTGATGTTGGAGAACTACAGCAACTTATTGTCACTAGGTAAGGTCTCCTTACACACAATATGCAGAATTTGTCCCCTATAATTTCTGCCTTTGTTGCAGATTTATGATTTCTCTCCCATAAGGAATGGTTTGTGTTTTATAAAACTCTACTATGGGTCTTCATATTCCCCTTCCTTCAAGCTTAAACACCTTCCTCTCTCGTGGTTTTGTTGTTGTTGTTTTATCAAGGTCTCTCTTCTTTGATGGATCTGAATCTTATATTTCTACAATATGACTATGTTCTATTTTCTTTTCTTTTAAGCTGGATGTCCAATCCCTACGCCAGATATGTGCTCCTTATTGGAGCAAGGAAAGGATCCCTGGATGCTGGATCCATGGGCCATGTCAGGAAGACGAAGCTCAGGTGAATAGGAGCTGGTCAGACAAGGGAGGCTACTACAAGAATAACACAGAGGGGGGTCTGTGAGGGCAGTACTTTTGAGATGTTTATGTGAAACTCCCCTCAAAGACCTGAGGAAGAAAGGCCTGAGACCTAAGGAGAGCAAGAAAGCTATAGCACATGAGTTTCCAAAGGAACCTCTCTGTCAACTCCCATTAACCACTCTTCTTGTCTCTTACATTCCTCTTTTATTTTAGTGGTGAAACTAACCTTTGGCCCCTTACAAGGAGAGTCTATTCTTTAAGTTAAGTTATTTTGTTATATTTTTGTCCCAATTGCTCTTTTGCATTTCAACTGGAATATGAATCTCCAGCCAACAAATGTTTGTTGAGATCCTACTGTGTTCTTGTCTAGGATGGTCAGGGCTTATCTCTACAGGGAGTTAACAGTTGAGCTGAGAGACCTAAATGAAGTTAGCCATGCAAAATCAAGGGAAGAAAAGACCCTGATGAAAGAATAAGCTTTGTTTATTTGAGAGCTAGAAAGGAGGTCAGTGTGACAAGGGTGTAATGTCTGTATAACATATCATTTCTGTGAGTAAAAGTGGCAGTTGTAGAAATGATATTAAAGAAGTGATCAGAGATCCTATAACTTAAAGACCTTGATCAAATTGCAATCAAGATGCATTAATAGTTACTGGAATGTGAATGTTGGAAACAAGAAGGAGAATCTGCAGTTGGAAAATATGGCCTTAGTGACAGAAATGACAACAGAGATCACAAGATCAAATTTTATAAGACCAGCAATTTATTCATTGCAAATACCTTTCTTTAATAGCAAACAGTGACTCTGTATGTGGACTAAACCACGTGGAATACACAAGAATCAAATCAACTACATCTGTGGAAATATATGATGAAAAAGCTTAAGATCATTAGTCAGAACGAGGCCAGTGTCCAACTGTGGAATGTGCCATCCATTGCTCATATGCAAGTTCAAGTTGAAGCTGAAGAAAACTGACACAAATTCACAAGGCTCAAAATACAACCTTGAGTATATCCCACCTGAATTTAGAGACCATCTCAGGAATAGATTTGATGCATTGAACACTAATGACGAAAGACCAGCAAGTTGTAGGGTGACATCAAGGACATCATACATGAAGAAAATAGGTAAACAGATGCCATCCACATGGAGCGATGGAGCAGCTGGAGACTTTAGATCCAGAGAGGGAGAGCAACTGTGTGCTGAAGACCTGGAGAGTATGTGGGGTGGGGGGAGGGCAGGATTGCAGGGTATACCCTTTGGTGGGGGGAGGGCAGGATTGCAGGGTATACCCTTTGGTTGGTTGATGATGCATGGAGGGGATTGTAACCATGGCAATGAAATGATATAGGATAGATTGAATGTAAAATTAATGTTCTCCCATGTAAACGATCACATAATTCACAATAAAACATTTAAGAAAAAAAAAAAATAGATGCCACCCAGAAGAGACTCTGAAACTTGATCTAGAACATAGAATAGCTAAATTAAATGGGAGAAATAATGAAGTGTAAGGACTAAACAGAAAATGTCAAGGGTGGCTTGAGAAGACAAAGTTTTATAATGAAATGTAGAAAGACCTGGAGTTAGAAAACCCAAAGGAAAGAATACGCTCATCATTTCTCAAGCTGAAAGAACTGAAGAAAAAATTCAGTCCTCTACTTGCGATACTGAAATACTCTGTGGGCAGCATATTGAATGATGCAGGAAGCGTCAAAAGACAATGGAAGGAATACAGAGTTACTGTATCAGAAAGACTTGGTTGATGTTCAGCTATTTCAGGAGCTAACATATGGTCAAGAACTGATGGTATTGAAGGAAGAAGTCCAAGCTACACTGAAGGCATTGATGAAAAACAAGGCTCTAAGAACTGATGGAATACCAAATACCCCTGAGATGTTTCAATAAATGGATATAACTCTGAAAACATCCATCTATGCCAAGATCAGTGAAAGACAACCACCTGGCCAACCGACTGTTGTTGTTGTGTTGTGAAGTCCCATTGAGTTGGTTCCGACCCATAGCGACCCTGTATAGGGTTTCCGAGGAGCAACTGATGAGCTTGAACAGCCAATCTTGCAGTTCAGCTTTGAAGTCTGGTGCATTAACTCACATCACCAGACCAGGACTCCCAACCAACTGTAAGAGATCCCAATTAAATTTGTGCCCATTCCAAAAAAGGTGACCCAACAGAACGTGGAAATTATCAAACAATATTTATATGTTTTGCTAGAGATGATTTAAAAATGGTTGCAAAAGTACTTTAACAGTAAAGTGCCAGAAATTCAAGCCAGATTCAGAAGAGTACATGGAACAAGGAATATCACTGCTGATGTTAGATGTATCTTGACTGAAAGCAGAAAATATAAAATTGGCTTTGTTTCACTGACTATGCATATTATACATGTGACTGTGACGATTATGAGAAATAATGGATAACGTTGTGAAGATAACGTTGTGCAGAATGGGAACTTCATGAGGAACCTGTACATAGACCAAGAGAACAAGGGGATACTGTGTGGTTTAAAATCAGGAAAGGTATGCATCAGTTTTGTATTCTTTCATCTTACATAGTCAGTCTATATGCTGAGCCAATACTCTGAGAAGCTGGACTGACTACATGAAAAAGAATGCAGAATCCGGATTGGAGGAAGACTCATTAGCAACCTGTAATATGCAGATGACACAACCCTTGCTTTTTGAAAGTGAAGACTTGAAGCTCTTACTGATGATGATCAAAAACTATGGTCTTCACTATGAATTACACTTAACATAAAGAACACAAAAATCCTCAGAAACATACAGGGTCGTGATGAGTCAGAACTGACTCGACGGCACTTAACAATAGCAACAATAACAAGAGAATGAAAAAGAATAAAACCAATAATAAAAATTAGAGTGGATAGTTAATTTCACCTGTGTTGAAAGCCTATTTAAGAAACTCTCAAAGGCTATCAGTAGAATTTTTTTAATGTTTCAGAAATGTTTTTCAATTATTTTTTTATAATTTCAGTTTCTACATGTACGATTTGATACTGTTTACATTCTATGAGTTGTACAGCTATTCTCTCCCTACATTTCTGAGTTCTTCCTCTCTCCTATTAACATAAACTTATTGCCCCTGTTTCCTATTTAATCTTTCGAGTTGCTATTGTGAATTTGATCCTGTATAGCTAGATTTTTAAAGAACACAATGCTTAAGGCATTCTTTACTAGTTAAGTTAAACTGGTTTAGTTTTAAGAAGACTTCGGGGGTATTTTTGGTTTAAAGTTTAATGATTATCTTGGGGTAATAGTTTCAGGAATTCATCCAACCTTCATGGCACCAGAAAAATCTGTATTTTATGATAATTTGAGGTTCTGTTCCACATTCCCTCACCTCCTTTTGATCTGGATTCTGCTATAGAAAAATTTAATGCTGTATTTAGAAGAAGCAAAGATGTGAAGTAAAGACAATGCTTCAGGAAAACATTGTACTCAGAAGTGTCTGTTGGAACAAGAAGGTGAAGAGAATAATCAGATGGGAGGCTGAAGTTTTAAATTTTATAGAAAGTCAACATGAGATCTAGAGGGCCTGGTGATCAAAGTGGAGTAGGAGATCAAGTCAGAATAGGAAATGTCCAAACCTATAATGGGATAAGAGTTCTAGTGATAAGGACTCAGGAAGCCAAGGGTTCCTGCTAAGAAGTTTGGGATATCCAGAAATGTCAGGCATAATGGGATTAGTCACTTTAAGGAAGGTGGATGACTATTTCTTGTTGTAGTCCTGGTGTAGTGCTGTAGATAAGCGCTCTATCTCAAGGTCACTTTGAACCGCAAGGTCAGCGGTTCAAACTCACTAGCCACTCCTTGGAAATCCTATACAGGGTCGCTATGAGTCGGAACCAACTCAACAGCACTTAACAACAACAACCTCAGGTTGATAGGCTGGTCACACTAAGAGCTTTTAGAAGTCTAGATCTCCCAGGGAAGTCAGCCTTAATAGGAGGAGATGGAAGTCTTAATAGAACCCAGAGGAGTCCTGGTATGGCTTAGTAGGATAAGCATTGGAGTGCTAGCTGCAAGGTTGACGATTCAAACCCATCAGCCGCTCCTCGGAAACCCTGTACAGGGTCTCTTGAGTTCGAACCAACTCGACAGCTCTTACCAGCAACAGCAACAGAACCAATAGCCTGTAGCAATAATAGAAAGAATGACCACTCAATTGAGTAAATTCTTCATGCCATGCACCTTTCATATGCATTCCAATCAAAGCAATCCTAAGACTTGGCTATTCCTCTCTTCTCTTTTCTGTATCTTACTAAGCTACTATCTAGAACCTTCCCATGGGTGACTCCACAGTGCCTCCTACCCCAAATCATAGTATATTTATATTTATTACCATGTATTATAATACGGAGTCCTAATGTGGCACTGTGGGTTAATATGCTGGACTGCAAGCTTGGTTTGAATTGCAAGGTCGGTGGTTCAAGCTCACTAGCTGCTCCTTGGAAACCCTATATAGGGTCTCTATGAGTCAGAACTAACTCGATGGCACTTAACAACAACATTATAATATAAAGAGCAGTTTTGAGCACCAACTGAATTTGGCCATTTACAGTGTTTTCTTAATTACCTTAAACCAGTTAGATTGTTTGCACGTGGTTTTTAAACCATATTGTGGTCTTCTAGCAAAAACGAAGTAAAAGCCAAATATTTTTATCCCAGTGTTTGTTACTGACATTGGCTGGATTTGTTTCCTACCCTATTTGTTTAGAATAAAATTTTCTTCATTGTGTACATTTGTTGGCATTTCTAGAATATAACAGAAATATATGGGAAATATGAGAATATTTGGGGTTGGATAAAGAGCAGTGGAAAGGGAAGCTTGGAAAGAGGGCATGAAGAGAAAATGCAAACACTGCATCTGCATATGCTACATTTTATATGCAGTGGAGGCTAGTTTTATAGTAAAACAGGCAAGCCGACTTGGCAGTCTAATGCATTAACCCAGAGCGCCAGACCAGGACTCCATCAACAGGTAAACAAATGAAATACAATTTTAGAATCACAATTGTAACAAGGACAAGAAATAAGGTAAAATAAGGGAATGAAGCCATGGACCCAAGTCAGATTGTCAGGGATTGTTTTTCTGAGCAACATATATTTAAACGAGAATGTTTAACCCAAAAAGGAGCGAGCCATGCAGAAAGCATTTCTTGAAAGCTGTAACAGGGTGTAGGAGAATCTGAAATAGGTACGAATTTGATTATGTTCCAGACCAGTAAGATTAAAGGATTGATTCCCGAAGATAGAAATTGCTCAAAATGAGATCAGAAAGATGAGGGTTGGGTCCATGAATAGGAATTTGGATTTTATTCTAAGTGCTTGGACAACCATTCAAATATTTTAAGTAGTGCTGTCAAACATTGGTTCACATCAAAAGCATTTGGGGAGATTGATAAGTGAAAGACTATATTATTTTAATCTAATTTTATTTTGTTTTATGTTGAGAATTTACTCAACAGTACATAAACCAATTCTACCACTTGTTTCTACATGTACGGTTTGGTGACACTGATGGCATTCTCCAAGCTGTACAACCGTTCTCACCTTCCCTTTCTAAGTTGTCCCTCCCTCATTAACAAAAACTCAGTGCTCCTAATCTTTAGAGTTGCTTGTCAATTTGAGCTTAGTGCAACCTACACTCGTGTGTCAGTTTGTGCTGCGGTAGCTTACATGTTTCTGTGATTCTGGAAGCTATGCCACCAATACTTTAAATATCAGCAGGGTCACCTGTGGTGGAGAGGTTGGAGTGTAGCATCATTTCACCTATCAGGTTTACCTTATAAGTGTGAATTCTTCTGGAAAGCAAAACCAGCACAAACTTGCTTTCTCGTTATCTTCGCAGATTTGGAGTCCAGCTGTGAGACCAAGAAACCATCTCTAGAAAAGAGTATTTATAAAATGGAGTCACTCCAGTGGACGATAATGGGAAACCCGCTGGTCCATAACCTTGAGTATAATTGTCCTGGAGACCTCATGGCGCACCAAGGTCAACTTGAGAGTCAACAGAGAAACCAGGGGTCACTTTTCAGGCCTGTGAAAACTGGTGAAGAGAAGGCCACTCAAAGTCGTTCCACACCCCCTGCTCTTTGCACAAAGGAAAAATTATATAACTGTAAGGAATGTAGACAAGCCTTTAGGTACCTGCCCTGCCTTATTCAGCATGAGAAAACTCATAATCGAGAAAAGCATTCTGAAGTAAAGAAACGTAAGAAGACCTTTAGCAAAAAGCCTAGCCCAAATCCACATCAGAGGATTCAAGCTTGTGAGAAACCCTATGAGTGTAAGGAATGTGGAAAAGCCTTTGGGCGTAGTTCGGATCTCATTCAACATCAGAAAATTCACACGAATGAAAAACCCTATCAATGTAACGCCTGCGGCAAAGCCTTTATTCGTGGCTCCCAGCTCACTGAACACCAGAGAGTTCATACAGGAGAGAAGCCCTATGAATGTAAGAAATGTGGGAAGGCCTTTAGTTACAGTTCCCAGTACACTCTCCATCAGAGAATTCACAGTGGTGAAAAGCCCTATGAGTGTAAGGAATGTGGCAAGGCCTTTATTCTTAGCTCTCAACTTACCTACCATCAGAGAATTCACAGTGGTGAAAAGCCCTATGAGTGTAAGGAATGCGGAAAGACCTTTATTCTTGGCTCACACTTGACTTACCACCAGAGAGTTCATACAGGTGAGAAGCCTTACAGATGTAAAGAATGTGAGAAGGCCTTTCTATGTGCCTCCCAGCTTAATGAGCATCTGAGAATTCACACAGGAGAGAAGCCGTACAAGTGTAAAGAGTGCGGCAAGACCTTTATTCGAGGCTCACAACTTACCTACCATTTGAGAGTTCATACAGGTGAGAAACCCTATAAATGTAAAGAATGTGGGAAAGCCTTTATTTGTAATTCTAATCTCACCCAACATCTGAGAATTCATAGTAATGAAAAACCCTACAAATGTAAAGAGTGTGAGAAGGCCTTTAATTGTTGCAAACAACTTAGTGAACACCAGAGAATTCATACGGGTGAGAAACCCTTTGAATGTAAGGAATGTGGAAAGGCCTTTATTCGGGATGCATATCTTATTCAACATCAGAAAATTCATGGCGAGAAACGGTATGAATGTAAGGTTTGTGGGAAGACCTTTACCCGTGCCACACAACTTACTTATCATCAGAGAATTCATACAGGTGAAAAACCCTACAAATGTAAGGAATGTGACAAGGCCTTTATATATGGCTCACAATTTCGGGAACACCAGAGAATTCACAGGGGTGAAAAACCCTATGAATGTAAGCAGTGTGGGAAGGCCTTTATTCGTGGGTCACACCTTACTGAACATCAGAAGATTCATACTGGAGAGAAGCCCTATGAATGTAAGGAATGTGGGAAAGCTTTTAGTCGGGGATCAGAACTGGTTTTCCATCAAAGGATCCATACTGGTGAGAAACCCTATACATGTTCCAAATGTGGTAAAGACTTTATACGTCACTCACAACTTACTCAACATCTGAGGCTTCATAAATAAGAAAACCTTTCATTGTCTTCAACTGCGCTGGTAGTGTATTGTTGTTGTTGTTGTTAAGTGCCATCAAGTCAGTTCTGGTTCATAGCAACCGTATGTAAGGTTTCCAAGGTTGTACCTCTTTGCAGGAGCAGAATGCCTGATCTTTCTTCCACAGAGCAGCTGGTGAGCTCTGCCTGTGGTCCACAGTCCAGTGCTTACCATCTAGAGCTCCCCTGCTCCCTGGTAGTATGTTAGAGAATCCATATTGTAATTGTAATGAATGTAGGCCTAGGCCGCCCTTTAGATTTGGCTCAGAATCAGCTCATTTTTAGAAGGCCTGTGTTAACTTAGAAACTTTGGTGGTGTTTTGCTGCTAAGCTCCTGGCTGATCACCAAAAGGTCTGCAGTTCAAACCCACCAGTTGCTCCATGGGAGAAAGATGTCACAGTCTGCTTGAGTAAAGGTTTGCAGCATTGAGAACTCAATGGGGCAGTGCTCTTCCATCCTACAAGGCATTGATGAGACCTTTTATGGACAGTACTTCAGGCCAGCCATTTCCAAAACACTACATTCAAGAAATAATAGCTCCAAAATATATTTGAAGAGAGAGGCTTCTACCCGACTGCATGTGAGGCTGTGACTAACCAAATTCCATTATTGACAAAACAAACACACTTGTTGTTGTTGCTAAGTGCCATCAAATAGGTGCCCTAAATAAACTTGGAACACACCCAATAAAAAGATTTTGAGAAGACCTTCAATAAGAAAAAGATTACTTTTGTTAAACTCATTGCTTCCTAAGCTTAACTAGGAATCCATTTTCTTCTCTGATATTTATTACTGTCATTAGGTTGTGGACACACTTGGAGATACCCTGTCTTAACTAAAAGGACTAACTAGAAATTTCAGGCATTGTGGTAGTTAATTCAATTTGGGTGTGTGTATGTGATGTTTTTTATACTATTAGAGGAAAAAAATCCCTCATTCAAGTTTTCAGTATCCTCTCTTCAGTATCTCATCATCTAATTTAATGAAAATGTTTTCATTGCTGCTTTTGTTATATTTTTGAAAGGGAAATTTTAATAAATATTCAGCACTGCTGCTGATTTCATAAATCCTGTTTTGAAATTTGGAATATCCCACTGAAGTGGGTATAAGGTACATGAATCCAAGAATTACTAAAAGCGTATAGTGGATGCAATACTGCTTTAGTTTCTACTTCTTATTTTTTAGTTACCATCACAAGACATGGTTGAAATTAAGCTGGTTTTTTATTCATGTTTTCCTTTTCAAACGTCATTCCATTTCTCTTGTAAAATTTACCTTATACCAAAGAATTAATGCAAATATTTTTAAAACCACCACTCTTACTCCCCAATTAATGCTAGAACTTCGGGGTTTACTTTTTGATATTTTTTGCTGTTCTGAAGAATGGTCTGCATTTGAATCTTTTGATAGTACATCTTAATGAGATAACTGTACTTGTATCTATAACCTGCTTTTAAAAAGTTTTTATGGTAAAAACCTTCAAAAATGCAAAAATAGAATAATAAAATACACAGCCATATACCTATCACTTATCTTTAGTGATTGTTCATTTTTTTTTAAAAAAAGGTATGCCTTTCTTGTTCCCTCTTCCCGATTGCTTTTGCTGGGATATTTTAGAGCCAAACCAGTATGTTCTAGTCTTCACTTTGTACATATTTCAGAATGTATCTAAAATTCCATCCATTTTGATCTGATTCATGGTTGGTTTGAGGACTTGAAGGGAGGTCAGCACATTGCATTTGGTTTGTATACCTTGCTTTTCTAATTTGTAAAAATACTCACAGAATAACACATAGGAACAACAATGCCGTGATTAATTTTACCATTCCCCACAAAGTGAATATTTAGGTTGTTTCTTTGATTTGACAAATTAGTGCAATAAATATACTTGCACAGTTATTCTTTCATATTGTTACTGGAACTGGCCCACCGCCAGCTGCTATCGACAATATCAGAGACGGGATAAGAATCAACATACGTTTTATTGACTGCTCTGGAAGGCAGTAAGAATCCTTCTCCGAAAGATTGCCTTGCCTGCCTTGCCCTCCCCATACAGTCCAAACTGGTATACCCCTCTAGGTATCAGTGTACCTGCATTATTACCTTCTTCTCTCAGAGTCTTATGGCACTTTAATTTGGGGCTACAGTTTTATGTCCCACTGAGTCAACGTGCCTTCATCCTAGGATGTGGTTGCCCAAAAAATGTTAATGGTCATTTCAGAAACCTTGGTCTTAAAGTTACATTCTTTTAAGGGTTGAGAGATCACAGCTCTCTGGTATTCTTCCCGGTTTGTCATCTTATCCTAGGTTTAAATCAACACTGCAGCACTAAGTCCTTAGTGTGTATGTTCCTGATGTTCCTAGAGCAAAGGGGAAAGGCGAGTCAGGGCAGTAAGGGTTGGGAACAGTGATTCAAAGGATTTGGACAGAAAGGGAAAAAAACATATTAAAAACCCTGCTCTCCATATTGGTGCCTTTATTTTTCTATAAAATAGATTTCTACAGATGAGACTGTTGAATCAAAGTGTATGTACTTTTTAAATGTTTTAATAGATTATTCCTAGTTAACGTTTGAAAAAGTCATTCACACATGCTCTCACCAGTAATGTGTGACTGACTACTCATTCTCCATATCATAACCAACCCCCAAATGATAGATTACGTAGTTTGACAGACTGAAATGGTAGTAGTAGCTTCAGAACCTGTCTAACTTCAGATAGTAAGAATTCCCATCAGCCCAAAGCTGATTCTCTGAGGCAAACACCAGACATACCTCCACTCTCCAGCCTCTTGTTTATCAATTCTCACACGAGCTGCCCTCCTCATGGCACTAATAATTCCCTGCCGGGTTGGAAAATTCCTTACAGCGGCCACACAGAGCTCACAGACCATTCTTACAGTTAGTTATGTGGCTAAGGAAAGAACAGGGTACAACTCAGCATCAGGAAGCATGTAAGCAAAGTCTGGAAGGCTCCCCTCAAGTAGAGAACACAGCCCTTGGTTTGATACACGGCAGCACTATCAGCCTAGTCATGTAAGTAGCCAGGTCCTTCTGTGGTATGTGGACTCCCTCGGAGCCATGGACACCTCTCAGCTCTTCAGACTTCCCCTCAACACCCTCAGGACAGGCTTCCTCCCAGCCCTTCAAAACTTCCTGTCTCTGGCCTCCCTGCCATCACCACGGGCTGCTGAAGGCCCCTTCGGGAGCTGTTATCACTGACTCTGTCATTGGCCCCCTTCTGTCTTGCTATCTTAAGTCTTTCAGCCCTTCAGTGTTAGATCTTTTGAAAGATTCCTCCCCTCCTCTCTCTATTCTCTTGCCTTTTCTCTTATTATTCCTGTCTGCCTGCTTGTCTACCAACTTCTGTGGAGTTGGCTGCACATATAAGTAAACTTTTCATCAGTTTCAAGACATGACCCTACCACCAGGGCCACAAACTAACCAATCCCCCCTCAGTAGGCCACAGATACTTCATTTGCATAGTAGGCTATAGTCATTTCATTTGCATAGTATATTGACCAATCCTTGCAAGGTGCACACCCATCACAGTGTAGGCCAGGGACTAGCTAAAGATAATCAAAACTAAATTGTACAGCTTAACCAGGAAATGTCCACCAACATAGACATAAGTTGAACACTAGGGCAAAAGTAGAAAACTGGGCAAAGGTAACTCAGGGCTTAGGGTAACAATTGCTCAAGCTGTTTTTTCAAAGAATCAGTGCCACGTAAAGGAACCCAGCTTTATCACACAGAGTTCCATTTGAGCCATGATGGAGCGACAGATTGACAGGGACTGTGATACCTGACAAGAAAATGAAGTCACACCATCTTTCTACATGGAAACACGTTCTGGACGATGGGGCAGAAGAAGGAGGTTCCCCCAGAAAAGCATGTCGATTTTACTGTGTTGAGAGAATTATTGGGAAGACTTGGAGGCTAGAATTCCAGAGAGGATGTAGCTATGCAGAAAAGAACACCAGAAATGTGTACAGAGGTCATCTTGACTTTGCTGAAATTTACAAACCTACATGTTTAGGGTGAAATTCCAAAATATTGAGCAAAGAGCAATCAGGGAGTTGAAAAATGCCCAGGACTTACACAGGGCTGAGATCCTGATGACCAGGATTCAGTAGAAACCTCAGAAGGACCACACATTAGTAGCAGAGCTAAATGATCTCAAGGAATCCCAAGAAAGAAAAACATAAAGCAAATTGTTGAAAATTAATAGGGGTGGGCGGGGGGGAGTGATGTTGAGAGCAGAGACTGCAAAAGGCATGGGGACAAAGTAAGACCCACAAACTTACCGTCAGAATCTCTGTAAGCCAGAAGACAAAGGAAGGATACCTTTGTAATGATTGCTATAGTTAACGTGCCACTGAGTCAATTTCAACTCATAGCAACTTTATGCACTGGGTAAGTGCTACCACCTACTCCAGTGCCATTGAATCAATGACAGGTGGTGACAATACCCACCCAGCCTGTTCTCACCTGCTCTGCATGACCAGCCATCAGAGACTTGTGCCCACACTCCCTACCTGTTACCAAGTCTATTCAGAGCCAGGTGACGAGAGCCCCAGTACTACCAAACTATCATCAGAGTAGCATGTCCACACCATTTCCCAGATACAACAGCACCACAATGTCTTGACAACAGACTTCATATCTTACCCAAAAAACAAAGTGTTATATATATATATATAT